GCGCAACAAGGGTATTGTTTAGTCGCGGCGGATCCGGGGCCAAAATCCGCTATTAGCCCCCCAGGCCACCACACCGGCTCGTTCCAACAATCCGGAAAATCATCCTGTTTTGTCGGCAGCTTTGTCTGCAATTTAGCGCAGGCAAAAAATTGTAATGCCACGCCCGCGCTTGATCGCCGAGAAGTGCAGGGGGATAATGGGGGGGAATTTTCAGGGAATGTAAGCGGAAAAGGATTAAAAAATGTGCTTACTGGCTCGGGAAGGTTAGCAGAGATTCTTTAGGCAACGGCAGACTAGCAGAGATTTTTAGAAAAGGGCTGGCTAGCAGAGGTTCTTTAGGAAAGGCCGGCTAGCCGCGACCCCCAGGGAATTCCGGATAACACACGAGCTTTTTCACTAGTGACGTCACTGTACTATAAATGACTCAAAATGTGGCAAACAATTAAAGCAAGCGGACAGGAGAGACAGCGAGAGAGAGCGAAAGAGAGAGAGAGAGAGAGAGAGAGAGATGGAGAGATAGGGAGACAGAAAAATGTAGCATTGCCATCTAGAACGACAAAGACTGCACGAAAATGTGCGGATCTGTGTCCATCGTAACACCGGATTTATTAGTGCATACACGAGGGCGAATGAAAAAAAAGATGAGCAATAAATGAAATTTCCGGCTTTTCGACGAATGCTCAGGGCTTTCGTCCAAAAGAAAGGAAAAACAAAAAAAATTCGAATACTACGAAAGTTTGGGAGAGAGAGAGAGAGAGAGAGGGAGAGGGGGGGGAGAGAGCTAGTGAGACGTATAACGTGAAGCAACACAATTATATCAAGGTACAGTGTCCCCAGGTCTACGGTGATTTCCGATTTCATATTATTAGCAGGTGCAGCAGCTTCTCACACGTACGAAATCAAGAAGTACAGGAAATAGGCCCACCCGGTGGCAAAACAACAAGCCTCCGGCGGGCAGAACTTTTCCCGTGCTCCCCCAATAGCGCTGATTGCCGGTTTCCGTGTTTTTACTATAAGCCCCGAAAAGGACGGGGGAGATGTTGCAGAGCCGAGCAACGAACAAAACAGCCCCCGTTATTGGGGGTGAAGCGGATTTTTGGCTATGGAAGTGGGGCCCCCGCGGGATAGCGATGGCAGGCTAGCCGAGAGCTTTCGGGAACGGAGCCTCCGATTTGCGTCTAGGAGCAGGGAAGGGAATCCGAGAAGCGTCGCACAAAATCAAGCATTTTTGGTGATGGAGAGGCCAGGGCAAAGCAGCAGCGGTTTTTGGGGGATCGGTGGTTCAACTGATCGGCAACACCGTCTTCCCGAAATTCCTCTCTCTCTCTCTCTCTCTCTCTCTCTCTCTCTATCTCTCTCTCGCTTTCTCTCGCTCTCTCGCTCTCTCTCTCATGTCTTTCTCTACCTATCTATCTATCGATCTATCTATCTATCTAGCTCTCAGACACTGGCTTTCTCTTGCTCACTGTCCCTCTCTCGGCCCTGCTCTCTATCTGAGCTTGCTCGTGCTCAATGCTTGAGCGGAGGCAGGCTAGCAGCATTTCTTGGGGAACAGCTCAGGGTTCAGATCCGTTAATTCCGTGCATTAATGACAGGCAATGCTTTCGCAGGAAATTCAACATTTTTCATGGTTTGACTGTCCTTACGCGACGCGTCTATCGGTGCACAAAAAATACATCCAAATACATAACTCTCCAAATCGTACAGTACATTATTTTCGCTCGTTCGCGGGGATTCTCGGGCTCAAAGTTCGAACTTCCAGACAAACCGGACAGGCGAAGCCCAGCCGTCGGTCGGGGCCGATTTTAGGAAACTCTGAAACCGGTAAACAACATCGTCGTGGGCGCCTGTGAAACGTCGTTGCTGCGCCGACCCCAAAAAAGCGATTAGCGGATTAATGTCGGCGAAGCCCCGGTTTAGAAAACAACGAAAAATACCGAGCATTAAAATAGAGGCCCCGGTGATGATCCCAAGGATCATGGAGAGGCGCGAATAAAATCGGTGTAAAGCCCCAAATTGTGGCCGGGAATTTCTCGCGTCGGCGGGTGTCGATGGTGGTCTTCGTCGCTGAAAAGTGCAAATTTTGGGTAGTGGCGAGGCAGGTATAATGCAACAAATCAGGTTTTGTCTTTTCCGCTTTTCTATACTTTTTTAAAAATGGTAGAGCGCGCGCAAGATAGTAGAGATAGAGAGAGACAGAGAGACTGTGAAAGAGAGAGGGAGAGAGAAAGCGAAAGATCGACAGAGAGAAAGAGAGAGAGAGGGCGGGATAGAGAAAGAGCGTGAGAGACAGTGAGAGAGCGCGAGAGATAGAGATAGAGAAAGAGGGGGAGAGAGCGAGAGAGAAAAAGAGAGGGAGAGAGAGAGAAACATAGTGAGAGTGACTGGGAGAGAGAGCGAGAGATAGAGATCAAATCGAGAGAGAGAGCGAGGGAGAGCGAGAGAGAGAAAGCGAGAAAGAGAGAGAGGGAGGGAAAGAAACATAGTGAGAGGGACTAGGAGAGAGAGTAAGAGCCAGAGCAAGAGAGCGAGAGAAAGCGAGAGAGAGATAGAGAAACCAAACTTGCTAACTTGCGAAAAGTACAAACGTATTTTATAGCTCAATTTGTCCTATTTTTCATTCTACATCTAGTAGGAATTTTTTCACACCGCGTGGGCGCTTTCCACACATTTCCAAACAACCCCCCGCCGATTCGCCACCTGTCCCCCGCACTCCATTTTTTGGGGCCAAACTTTGACCGCGTTGTTCCCGGAAACGCAAAACTAAACTTTGAGTCATGGCAGCCATTTTTTACGCGTTATTTCAGGCGTTCAGGCGTTGCCCAATTCCGTGATTTTGTTGCGCCACGAAATAACCTTGTGTCATGGAAATGCCTTACTTTTTTGGCATCTCGTCAGCCCCCAACTCTCGAATCCGTTCACTTTTTGCTTTTTGTGCCCCCTCGGAACCGAGAGTAAATAGGAGCCGGCCGGAAACACAGTGCCAGGGCAAAAAGTACGGCCGCGATGAGTTGCCCAAGTCAATGCATTAGGGCATGAAATGGTGCCGATCATCGACTTGAAGAAGTTGCGAAATTTTTGAGGACCTGCTAGTCTGTCCAAAGGAGTAGTACTGTTAGCCTGCTCTTCCCTAAGCAATCTCTGCTAGCCTGCCCTTTCCTACAGAACCACTGCTAGCCTGCCCTTTCCTAAAGAACCTCTGCTAGCCTGCCCTTTCCTAAAGAACCTCTGCTAGCCTGCCCTTTCCTACAGAACCACTGCTAGCCTGCCCTTTCCTAAAGAATCTCTGCTAGCCTGCCCTTTCCTAAAGAACCTCTGCTAGCCTGCCCTTTCCTACAGAACCACTGCTAGCCTGCCCTTTCCTAAAGAATCTCTGCTAGCCTGACATTTCCAAAGGAATCTCTGTTAGCCTGCTCTTTCCTACAGAATATCTGCTAGCCTGCCCTTTCCTAAAGAATCACTGCTAGCCCGCCCTTTCCTAAAGAATCTCTGCTAGCCTGCCCTTTCCTAAAGAATCACTGCTAGCCCGCCCTTTCCTAAAGAATCTCTGCTAGCTTGCCCTTTCCTAAAGAATCTCTGCTAGTCTGCTTGCCGTTTTTCCAGTTAATCCATTTTTTCCAGTCCCTTTAATATGCAATCTTTCTCTCCTTAGTCAGTTCTCTGTAATTTTCGAGCTACCGTAATCCTGTTTTGTGGTCCCCCCCCCCGGGTGTTTGTTAAGCCTAATTCATCAATTCCCGATTACGAAGGGCACGTGGATTCGTAGTAGATTCGCATGTTTTTCAGGGTTCTTTCGCGTTGGGGCTTGAATTAGAATTTGGGGGACCCTCGGGGGAATTTAGGGAAAACCCGGCAAACCTACGCGCCCGGAAAATAGGATGACGACATTGTGAGAAGTGATTTGGAGTGGAATTCCATTCATTTTCATAGTATCGTTTTTGACCATGCCATTTTTCTCAAAATTAGCGAGAGAGAGAGCGAGAGGAGAGAGAGCGCGAGAGAGAGCGCGCGAGAGAGAGCGCGAGAGAGAGAGCGCGAGAGAGATGGAGAGAGAGAAAGAAAGAGAGAGAGAGATGGAGAGAGAAAGAGAGGGAGAGAGAGAGAGAGAGAGAGAGAGAGAGCGGTGAGGGGGCGAGAGAAAAGAGTTTTTTTCGTAATTTTCTCAGAGTTTTCTCGATCATTAGCTAGATTAGAAAAAAGGTGGTTTCTGAAATCCCTCGAATAATACTATTTTTTCAAGGAACTATGAAGGCAGGAATTCGATAGTTTTTTTTAACGCATCACCAGATGTCAAATCACTTTCGAGCTTTTCACAAACATGCGGCTCGCACAGCATGTCGCGTTTCAACAGAGGCTTCGAGATGTTCTTGCTCAATCTCTATTGTCCATAAGCAATAGATCAAGCTCATTTTAAGCGTATTGTGTAGTTACAGTAAGCGAACTCTTCCCAATTAAAAAACCGGTCCGGGATCGCAGAGTACTGCAAGTTCAATGCTCAAAAAGGCTTGTTTACGAGGGTTTTTGATGCGGATTTTGCGTCGTGTTTCGAAAGTTGCCCTAGTTACTTCCTGGAGGGTGTGAGACCGTGCGAGACAGGGAGATAGACAGTGAGAGAAAGAAGGAGAGGGATAGAGAGGGTGAAAGAGAGAGAGAGAGTGAGAGAGGGAGAGAGCAAGCGATACATGAAGGGAGAGTGAGAGTGACAGAGCGGGAAAGAGATGGAGAAAGAGGGAGCTAGAGAGACCGAGACAGAGAGAGACGGGGTGAGGGCGAGAGAGCGAGAGACAGACAGAGCGAGAGAGATACTAGCGCTATTTCAAGCCACATTATTCTCTCTATTTTGCTCAATTCCTAGCTACAACCCTCACCAAGATGATTCAGGCGCGTCATCATCCATCCAGAAAGCCGTGGCCCCGCCCCCTTTCACACGCCCCTGTGGTGTCTGTATATAGGCGCCAAGTGGACGGACGACATTCCCGGAAATTTGAGGATTTTTGAAGATGCTGGCCACCCTTCCGATTTTTCTGGCTTTGTTGCTGATCTTTGAAGTTGCGTTTTCCGATGCGTATTCAAGTCACCGGAATCGGCAATTTTCGCTGGGAAAGTCATCTCCGGTAAGGTTTTCTCACATTTGATTGGACAATGGAAAGCAAACTTGCAACTGTCGAGACCTAGTCTTGACTAGGGGTCAATTTTCGCGCTTAAAAACTTCTTTAAGATGGGTTTAAAGTGGAAAAATTTTAGTCGAGGCTCAGGCGCGACGGGCCAGATCACGATCCGCCATTCCGGAAATGCGGCAGAATGCTAGGCGAAGAGCTCAATAACGTCTGCAACAACAGGATCAAGGGGAGATATTTCGCGCCTGGGGAAAGTGGGTATCTTTTTTTCTTTCTCTCTCTCGCTCTCTCTATCTTTCTCTCTCTCGCTCTCTCTCTAGCCTTCTATCACTATATTTCCAGAAACACTCGCCGACATGTGTTGCTACCAGAAGACATGTACGAAGGCATACTTGAAGACGTTTTGCGACCACAGTCCCGATGCTTCAGAAACTCCAAATAATCTGTACAGCGATGAGGAGCTACCCGTCTAAAAAGACTGTTGGCTCATAGTGGAATTTTTAGCATGGTTTTGCATTTTTCGCTTCTCCTCCACCTGCAGCTATGAGTTTAAATCTATTCCAACATATGTAAAGGCTGCAATTCTCTGTACGAACTAGAAATGCTTTAAAACGCAAAATTCTCGAGTATTATCATGTATCCACACTCCAATATGGGTCTGAAATCGATCGGCACGCGGTTTTTCCTAATTTTCGATGGTTGTTTCTAGTCACCAATTTTTCTGATGTATCTTGTGCTAATTCTTGTCTTTTTCTAATTATTGATTTCCAAAATTATGTATAAAAATTTTTATGCCCTTGAAAAGACGGACGGACGAAACGAGTTTTTTACCAGCAAAGAACCTTAGGCTTGGCTTAGGTTTAGGCTTAGGCTTAGGCTTAGGCTTAGGCTTAGGCTTAGGCTTAGGCTTAGGCTTAGGCTTAGGCTTAGGCTTAGGCTTAGGCTTATTAGGCTAGGTAATATTACGCTTATGCTTAGGCTGAGGCTTAGGCTTAGGTTTATGCTTAGGCTTAGGCTTAGGCTTAGGCTTAGGCTTAGGCTTATGCTTAGGCTTAGGCTTAGGCTTAGGCTTAGGCTTAGGCTTAGGCTTAGGCCTAGGCTTAGGCTTAGGCTTAGGCTTAGGCTTAGGCTTAGGCTTAGGCTTAGGCTTAGGCTTAGGCTTAGGCTTAGGCTTAGGCTTAGGCTTAGGCTTAGGCTTGGGTTAGGGTTAAGTTTAGGCTTGGACTTAGATTTCGGCTTTGGCGCCGAGCCCACCTCGTCGGTGGGATGCTACCGACAGAGCGGACCCGTCGCCGGAAGTGACAAAAATGCACAGATTAGAGACTCTAGTATTTTGATCGGCCACGGATGAGTCAAAAGTGGCGAATCCCATAGCGCTGCGCTGCCCCGCCCCTTTTTGCGCTTTATATACAGGCGCCTGGGGGAGAGTCCGACAGATAGCGCGGGTGAACTTCGAAATCCCCCCCACCCGAACCCTGACCAAAAAATGCGAACCTGGAAACCGATTCCTCTGATTTCCCTGCTGATGGCGGTGGTGGTTGTTGAGAGCGCAGTGAGTTCTTCAATCATTTCAGCATGGTCACTTCCGTGGGAGTATTTGACCCTCTACTTTTAAAGGCCGGACAAGGCGGAGAGCCGCTTAGATCGCGTTGACGAGAATTTAGGAGATGGGCAAACTAGCCGAGATCATTTGGCAAAAATGAAATAATATTCTCTCTATCATCGTTCTTTCTTTCTCTCTCTGTCTCTCTCCCTCTCCCTCTCTCTCTCTCACTCTCTCTCTCTCTCTCTCTGTCTCCCTCTCCCTCTCTCCCTCTCTCGATATCTTTTCTCTCTCTCTCTCTCTCTCTCTCTCTCTCTCTCTCTCGGTCTATTTCGTCATCAGACGCGTTCCTGGGGAGGCTAGCAAAGGCCATTGGAGAATCCGGAAAGAATTTCGGCCTAGCTGGCAGTGATAATCGCTTGGCAGGCTAGCACAGGACATTGCGGATTAACAGTATTCGTTAAGTTTATGTTAAGCACGGGCCAGCTAGCAGAGATCATCGGGGAATCCCAGGCTATTTTTTAGATCCGAGCAGCCTAGCAGAGATCATTTGGAAGTCCGCTAATCTCTCAATTCCAGGCCCGGATGCGACGAGATAGCACGAGTCCCGTTCATTTTCGGCTTTGCGGCCGGAAACTGGTCGACGAGCTGAATGCGCTCTGCGAGAATGGACAACTCACGCATAAGCCTGGCGAAAGTAAGTAGTATTCCCTCGGACCTCGAAGCCATGTTGTCTTTCAGAAACGCTCACTGAGATTTGCTGCGAAGCCGGGAAGTGCACCAAGCCGTATCTGGAAAGCTGGTGTTATACTGGGAATAATGATCCGTTATTTAGCAGCAATGATTTGCCGGTTTAAGGAAATGTCGCCATCTCTCGCTCTCTCGCTCTCTCTCTCACTCTCTCTCTCACTCTCGCGCTGTGTCTCTCGCTCTCTCTCGTTCTCTCTCGCTCCCTCTCGCCATCTGTTTTATTCAATTTACCTTTCTCTCGCTCTCCCTCCCTCCCTCCCTCTCCCGCGTTCTTGCTCTTTCTCTCTCGCTCTCTCTCTCTCTTTATCTCGCTCTCCCTCTCTTTTCCTCTCTCCATTTCCCGCGCTCTCTCGCTCTTGCTCGCTCTGCCTTTATCTCGGTTTCTCTTTTTTTCTGTCCCTCGGTCCCTAGATTGTTCCTTATCTTCTCCGCTCGCATTTTGCAATCCATTTTCGGGTTAACCTACGCAGCTATACTTGCAAATTATTTTTCCCAGCTTTCCCAATCATGTGTTTTCTTTTATGAACCATTTCTTGCCCCTAAACCATTTGAATCGACATATCAGCACCCTTTAACATCAGGTCCCCCTCATTGAGCAAAGCTTTACACGGTTGTGTCTAGGTATGGTTAGTGCTAATTTATGTGTCTATGTGACGGATAAATAGATTCTAAAAATGTTGATGACTCACTTTGGTGATGTTGATTGTTACTTAGTACTCGCAATTGAAGCTCGGGTTGCGAAAATGGTTTTTGCCGGTCTTGAGAGAGTGAGAGGGAGCGAGAGTGAGAGAGAGAGAGAGAGGGAGTGAGGTCGAGGGAATGAAAGAGAGCGATAGATAGAGAGAGAGAAAGAGAGAGAGAGAGGGACAGAGAGAGAGAACTAGAGCAAACGAGAGATATAGGGTTATGGAGAAGTGCGTAACCTGAAGCATACAGAAGCGGAAAACGACAAAACCAGAAAAGTATGCTATTTAAAAAATGACAGTTATATTTCCGTAAACCGTGAAAAATCTAGAAAAATAGTTTGTACTAAATCCGCCAAATTTCCGATGTTTTCAGGTATTTTCGATGCTGTTTTCTCTCCATTAATGTGTGGTGCTAACTGCTTTGATTTTGCAAAAAAATTTAAAACCTTTAATTTGGAATGCGGCTCACTTGATTCACTCCAACTTCCGCCCAAATAGCTCGATTTCTAGCTTCCGCGTGGCATTGTTGTTACTGCGAAACCGAAACATAACTCTAACCTTTGATTTCAAACCCCCCGATCCGTCGATTTTCTCTCGTTTTTCTCTTGGGCCTGGGGGTGGTGGCGCTGCAAGTGGGGGTCAGTCGGTAATTTCCATTGCGGCTGGATTAATTTTACTTTTAATACAGCAACCAATTATTTTTGGATTTTACGAGTCTATGCCCTTAAACGGTTTTCTAACGTTAAAATAAACGCTCGTCGCAGGTAGCGGTGAAAATTTGCGGAAACTAGGCTCTCACTTCCCCTCCGAAAGCGAATGAGAGAGAGAGAGAGAGAGAGAGCGATAGAGAGAGAGAGAGAGCGCGAAAGCCCATGAGAGAGAGCGAGTGCGAGAGACAGAGATAGGGAGTGAGAGAGAGAGTTAGAGAGAGCGAGAGAAAGAGAGAGCGAGAGAGAGATAGCGGAATAAACAGATAAACACAAGGAAAAAGGAGGTGACAAGATCCAGGCAAGCTAGCAGAGAACTTTGAGGTATCAAGCAGCCTGGTTCTTTTTAGCTTATTTTTATGGAACGGCATATCTCGCGTGCTCTTTGTCTCACATTCTCTGCCCTTCTCTCTACTTGATATCTCTCACTCTCTGGCCATCTTTCCCTCCCTCTCTCTATCTCTTGCTCTCTCCCTCTCTCTCTCTCTGTTTATATCCCTTGCTTTTCTGAAAATTTCTGCTTCTTTTCGCCTCCCGAATTTTGGTATTCTCGCACTTCCAGTACCCCCAGATTTCCTCCTCCCAAAACTCAAAGATCACCACCGAAAAAGCCGCAACACTTGCAGAAACCTTATAAGACTGCGGGATTCCGGGATACACCCCTGGACGGACAGGGGCAGGGAGGGCGGTGGGTGGGGCAAAGATTAGCCTCTCACAGGTTTCAATTTAGGCCCCGCCCCCTTTTCAGCGGTTCGCCTTTTCCTTGCCGGCCCGGTTGGTCGGTTTCCACCCCCCTAGTGAGAGGTATTTAAGCCAGACCTACTCGGGCCATTTCCTAAGGAATTCGAAAGGGATTACCTTCAACCTACTATATTAAAAATGAACTTCCACTTCCTCCTCTGGGTAGTCGTCCTCGCGTTAATGGCGATCTCCTGGGCCGAAGCTAGCATTTACACGATGGATTTGGATACGAATGAGGAGGAGTCGAGGCCGAGGACAAGGATCACGCAGGTGAGGATTTTTAAGCCTAAGCCTGAGGCCAAGCCTAAGTCTACGCCTAAGCCTACGCCCAAACTGAAGTCGATGTTCAAGCGATTATTTTATGCTATGCTATGCTTGCTAGCAACGAAGTTTTGGAGCATTTTCACGAAATTTGACCCAATTCTGCTCTATGCACCGCGCAAGCTAACAGAGATTCTTTAGGAAAGGGCAGGCTAGCAAAAATTCTTTAGGAAAGGGCAGGCTAGAAGAGATTCTTTAGGAAAGGGAAAGCTAGCAGAGATTCTTTAGGGAAGGGCAGGCTAGCAGAGATTCTTTAAGAACGGCTGGTTAGCAGAAATAACCAACAAAAGTATTTGCAATTTTGTTGTGCTAACTTTTGGATTTGGTTTCCAATTTTTCGATTTTGGTCCCGGGGTAGCTTTCTCGTTTTCTGCAAACTTTGCGCAAACATACCGTAACCCCCGCTCTCATCCCTAATTGCAAATTCCCAGCGGCTAACGAGGCTTTTCGCAGATATCGGCGCCGGGACGTCAGCATTTTTGCGTGATTTTCGTAATGTTTGGAGCGTGCCGGAAGTCTGGGTCCATTTTCTCAAAAAATGCGTAAAAAGGCGTATTTTGCATTTACGCGCGATTTTAAAAAGGGTTGTGACCCGAAAATATCGTTTTTAATCGGCTTTTCCAGGTGAAAAAGAAGCACCACCATCACCATCATCATCATCACCACCATCACCAGGACGACGCCATCAAGAAGGCGTTGCGGTCGAAGCGCGGCGAGCCGACGTACCGTGTCTGCGGCCGGGCGCTGTTCCGGAAGATTCACGAGCTGTGCAAGGAGTGCACCAAACCGTTGCCTGATGATGATACAGACAGTGGGTTTTTGAGGGTCTAGGGCGAGCTAGTAGAGATTCTTGAGGAAAAGGGAGGCTAGCAGACATTCTTTAGGAAAAAGCAACCTAGCTGAGATTTTTTGGAAAAGGGCAGACTAGCAGAAACCATTTCGGAAAGGTCCACCTGGTTACTGTAGCCCTCCTTCACCGCCCAGTCCCTTTAAACCCAGCATTTCCAGACCAAAAAGAGACCATCTCGACGCTGTGCTGCGTGAAGAACCAGTGCAGCGACACGCTGCTACGGACACAATGCGCCACCGACTGCTAGGAGGACAGGGCTGTTGCTCTCTCGTGCTCTCTCTCTCTCTCCCTCTCCCTCTCTCGCCTCCCCCAAAAATACCGAAAAACACCTTCTACGCGTTGATCAGCTGCTAATCATCTTCAGCTAACTCGGAACTATTTTCGATCCACGCCCATCAATTAGCCGGCTGATCCCTGGACGAGACAACCCATGTAGAGCAAAAATTCCGGTTTTCCTCCCGTTGCCTATTTGCACATAGATCGCCCCCAGCCTTGCCCGTGTTATGTAATTTGTTTTTAAAGGGACCGGGAAGGCAGGAATCGGATCGAAATCGGGTTTCTTTTGCAGTTAGGACTCAGAAAAATAACGTTTCAAACCGTTTTTCGGATTTCCATACCGATCCTAGGGCCAAATTGCCCTCTAATTGCCCGTTCCGGTCCCTTTAAATGGGCTCAACCCTCAAATTTGCACCATTTGCATATCGAAATCAACTTTCTAGCCCCAAATTGTCGCCAGATCTCCGGGATGACCCCCCAAAACATACATTGATAGGCATATTTACCCCGCCGAATCCCCCCTGTCTTTCCGATTCTAGCGAATCCAATTCCAATTTTCCCCGTTTTGCCGATTTTATGCAGAAATGTTTGCGATAATTTTAAAGGCACGCGGAAGTTGACTAACCCCCGATAAGGATTTTTGAAAAGTTTGGCTTCCAGGTCCCTTTAAAACTCGCGAAAACCCGAGAGCCGGTTTGCCCATCGGGTTCTACTATTTATGCGTATGTTACCGTTGCGTTTTCCCTGGTATGCTGTGCTTTTTATTTGCCTAATATTATAGATCGAGTAATTTTACGGGTCCCCCAACGATTTGTATGCTTTTAAAGGGTCGGTGAAGGCAGAATCCGGGCTAAAAGGGTGGAGTTTTGAAGCGAAGGTTTAGGCTTAGGCTTAAGTCCAGGCCTAGGCTTAGGCTTAGGCTTAGGCTTAGGTTAGGCTTAGGCTTAGGCTTAGGCTTAGGCTTGGGCTTGGGCTTAGGCTTAGACTTAAGTTTAGGCTTCATCATCAATGATTTTCATAGCATTTTGTGCCTGGATTCCCACTTCACAAGCCCTTTCAAGAGATTCCAGAATAGAATTATCCACCGCATAACCTTGTGATCTCTAGCCCCAAAAATGTTGTACATTGTGCTAAAACACGCGTCATTATGCCCCGCAGCCTAGGTATCAATTTCTAGTCGCCCCGCATGTGCACCAAACGCCAATTTACGAGACGTTTCACCCCCGTTTCAATACCCTTTTTGAGCGTCGATGAACCCAGATAAACTGTACGTATCCCTAAGGCAACGCTTGGGACCCATGGAAAACACACCGTAAACCTGGTAATTCTTAAACACGTGGGGCTAAAAACTCCCTAGAGTACTCCCGGGCGCCGCGCGGCAGGTGATTTTTGCAGAAAAAAATGTTTGTTTCAAGGGAAGGCAATTAGTTTTTGGTTTTTTTTGCGGGCCTAGGAATTCGTCTTGTCCAGGAAGGTACCCTAGGCTTAGGCTTAGGCTTAGGCTGGCTGGGTCTTGGGCTCAG